TGCAAGACATTCATAACATGTTAATCTCATATCATATCCTTCATTTTGCCACATTTGATTCATAACTTCTAAGACTTTTAATGCAAACATATCTTGACGAAGGTCATCATCTTTTTTAAATATAATATAAATTGGATCACCTTCGGGATCTTCATTTTTAAATGTTAAAAATAATGGTTTTCTTAACGAGTCCAAAACTTTACAATTTTCAGCAACTATTTTAGTGAATTTTAATGAAGATTTAAATGGAACATAGGTAATTTGAGGTAATATGATATTATTCAATTCTTTTGTAAGTTGGTTAATATCAGTTTTCCATGTTTGATTTTGTTGGGTGTATAATGACGTTAATTTTTTACATAGATCAAGTTGGTTTTTAATTATTGTTCTTTGAGCACCACATACCATCAAAAAAGCTTCAAGAAGTAATGCAAACCTTCTTTGTGTTTCAGGAATATGTAACTCACTTTTGATTAACCAAAAGAATATACGACCAATTGTAGAACGTTTATTGAGTGCTCTATGAATTAAGAAGATTGCAAGATCAGACAATGGTGTTGCTTCAAATTTTAAAGACTGAATTAGTTGCATCATAATTGTTGAGAGATGTTCATCATTACATTCAACTAAACATTTAACAGCGTATTGTCGAATAAAACTATTTGCAAATGAGAAATGAAGTAATCTTAATGCAATGATATGACTTACTTTTGGCCATTTTTGAATGAGTTGTTCAAATACTTTTACTTCTTTTGGTTTGTTCCATGGAACACTTTGACATAATAAAACAATACTACTTGGATGAAGATGAAGAGTCTCTTCATTAAGAATAAATTGTCTTCCTCTCCATATCAATTCCTTATCTTCATTTTCTATTTCTTTTAATAAATTTGTTGTTACAATTAGAGTATTAATTCTTTTTTGTTCTTCTTCATTTAATTCACATTTTTTATTTAATTCCATTGTGATATCAACGGTTGAATTATCGAATTGTATTGTTGGTCCAATCGGAAGTTTAAATTGAATTTTTCCATTAAGTTGATTTAGATTACCAAATTCTGTAACAGGAATACCGATAGGAATAACAGGAGGTAACATAATTGCTTGTGAATAATTTCCAGAAATCATTAATTTACGATAGTCAAATAAATAAATATCAGTCCATCCAATAATTGTAGTTGTATTATTTTCACTACTAATACTATTTGGAGATAAATCCATTCCACAACTACAAAACATATTAAATCCTTTTCCTTTAGTAGAGTATAATGATAAATGACAATTTCTACATTCTCCTTTGTATATATTATTTTTTTTAATTTTAACTTCTTTATCTACTTCAATAACCTTAAATACAAGCATAGCTTCTTTAGGAATATCACATATTCGACATGAATCAAAAATAATCCATTGATTTAAATTTAAATTGTTAAATTTATTTTTTTCATTAGAAATATTTGAAACCACTGAAGAACGTGAACTCCACATAACTTCTCCACCAAAACATATTTCAAGTAGTACAACATATAATGAGTTAGTAGTAAAAATTTGATCAGTCATTTCAATATTTTGAACATAAATACCTAATTTTTTTCTCATTACACAGTGAGGTAATATAATATCCATATTTGGTAATTCAATTGGTAATGGTTGAAATTCCCAATTCTTTTCTAACTCTTCACTTCGTTGTCGAACTTGTAATTTTTTTTCAAATTCACCTGCTTCAAGAACTAACATTAACCTAATTGGTTTAGACATTCTTAACATTTCTCTAATATATTGATAGTCTCCAATTGGAACATCATCAAACATATATTCATCAAATCCAAGTGTTTTAAGATAGAATATATTATTGTTTACTTCAAAGTCAGTTCTAACTTTTTGAATTGAACGAAGATATTTATCTATTATCATTGATGGTTTAAATAAATAATTTACTTGAAGCGTATTACTTTGTTTATCTAATTGACAAAAATCTCTTACTGCAGTAGAAATTTGTAATTTAATAAAAAAAGTTTCTGGAAATGATTTTGGATATGGTATTGCTGTTATTGCTGATGAAATTGGAATAAATGGAATGTTCATATCCTTTGCACTGTGATATGAACATCTTCTAAAATAAAATTCTTGTGGGTTTGTACAATCCCATTTCATTGGTCCATCAATAATTGTTGAAATATCAAATAATACTATTTTATCTCGTTCAAATAATTGTGTATCTACACATTCAAATTCTATTGACTTAAACTCTCTTAATCGTTGACGAACATATTCCCATTCTCCAATAGGAGTCATTTGAACTTGTGAAACTTTAATATAATACATTGAATTTGGTACTCTAAGATGATAATTACTCGAAACATTTTGAATATCCATTGCTTGTTTTTTTAATAATTCAATTGAAACATTTGGATATTCTCTATTAAATTCAGGACAATTAATAGGATTTTTAAATATTTCTTTTGCAGAACGTAATAATTTATCTAGTACTGTTCTTTCAATACTTTCATTCATTTCTCCTTTCATTATGTTTCTAATCATTGGTCTTAAATTTTTAAAAAATGATTGAACAATTTCTGCCATTACTTCTATTTCTTTATTAAATGTTTGTTTCACAACGTCTGGAAGTGAATTATCATCAATATCTTTTAAAAATATATTAAAAATTTCAAATAAAATTGATGTTAATCGTGTTGTTTGAGAAGAATTTGTAGAAAATTTCCAATCAGCATTAGTTCTTGGATATTTTTCATTTGATAAAAGGTTCAATGTTATTCTAAAGAATAATTTGGATAATGCATATTGATCTGAATTTAAATGGTTTAATGTTAATTTCTTATTTAATGTGTAGAAAATATAAACTGTTTCACCAGTAAGTTTTTGAAGGGCAGTAGATAATGTATTTCTAAGTTGTTTTATTAAATTACAAATATATCCAATATTTTGGTCTCTATTTTCTGATGGTAAAATTTTATTTGCATCAATTTCAAATAACCCATTTTGAACTCTCATTTTAATCGGGAAGAAAAATGTATCCAAAAACAATTTTTCTTTTTCAAACATCCAATTTTCTAATAATCCTTCCAATAGTCTTGATTGAACTCCATGTGTTGAGACAAATGCACTAAGATAATCTGCTTCAATACTATGAATTCTAATAAATTGAAAAATTGAATCTACTAATTCATCACCATCACAAAGAGATGATAATAATACTAGTCCTGCATAATTCTTTTCTAACAGTACATTCCTAAAAGCAATAATTCCAGTACCAAACTTATCAAAAAATTGTTTTAATAAATCGTCAATAGTAGCATTTTTATCAATAGAAATTTCTACATAAGTATTTCCTATTTGTGTTATTAATTCTTTTGGTAAATGAATTTTAACAACAAATGGTAAATCTAATGGATGACTTGGTTTTCCTATTGAATATTCTTCATATGTTTTTAATACATTTGGTTTACTTATTCGAAGAAATCGATCAACCGCAACACTAGACCTAGGTGGGTGTTCAAAGTATTTTGGAACAATAAATTCCACAGGTGGTCTTTCCATGAAGAAAAGTTAGTTAAAAAGAATTTTTCGATTTCGTTTTCATTATTTTTTTTAGTTTTATCCATTTTCATTCTATAACACAAAAAAATTTCAAAAAAGTTTTATAAAAATATCAACAAAATTGATAAATTTAATTTTTGTTTTCCAAACTCTTCCTTTTTTGAAAAAAGAGAGCAATAACAAATATTAATAATCAAAAAAATGTTGAATTGGCAGAACTGTCAAGAATAACAAATGACAATCCCTATAAATATCTTGTGCCGAGGTAGTTGAAAATAAGAGTGAATTACTTAAGTATTGATGGATTGCTCTCTATTGTTGATTTCTCTGTGGAGATTAATCCCCTGGATATTTTCTATTAATTTTATAGACTGTGTTTGGCTATAATAGAAACTATGTTCCATTAGTTTATCTTATTTTTGATTACACTATCTATAACTTTTTTGGGGTGTTATTTTCATTCTTATTTTAATTAATCTAATACTTTCTTTATTTAC